AGCTTAATGTGTAGTGCTCGTAAGTTATCATCATTGTACACCATGTTTATGTTAATGTAATTCGTCATAACTATCCTTTATATACCTAGTGGTTTACAATGTTAAGCATTCTGATTTACATGTTGCTTATATAGGAGGCCCTAAGGTCATTTTGTATCTTTTTTTTTTTCTTTAGTTTCACTCCAATTCAATGTTGTAATCTTGACTTATCTGTGGTATATGAAGTCATTAAAGGAGCAAGCCCGTTCTCTTACCTGACTCTTGAAAAGGAGTTTGTGCTGGCTGTTTATCTCTGTTAACACTTCGGAAGTAAAACACAAAGAGAGAACAGTGCATAGATCATTTTGTCTTGGTCATTTATAAGCAGCTCGCAAGCTAGCGTACCTTCGGAGCGTGTTTAGTAAGGGCAGGTGACATAGGACGCTACGCTCAGAGCACACAATCTCCTGAACACATTGACCATTTATTTTTTTCTTAAAAAAAAAAAAACCTCTCAAAGAAGAATACTGACATTCAGTACTTGTTTCACCGCAGTCATGTTAATCTTCCTCATTCTACGTGTCTTTTTTATTTGACTTTAATGCACTTTATTTTACTTTTTATATGGACATACTTTTTGTTACAATTTTGTATTTGTCTGGAGAAGACGATTCAAAATAAAAATTAGTCACCATGTTAATCTACATCAATCCAAAGTTTTTATTCTACTTTATTTTGCTTGTTTTATGGGACATACTTGACTACACTTTTGTAATGTGGACTAGAGTTTGTTTACAGTTCCCAATAAAATATGACAAAATGCTAATTATATTTGCCTTTTTTAATTTATTGAAATGTAAAGGATTGTGTGAAATTTCATCATTTTGACTACTAACACCAGTATCGAACCGAACCAAATCGTATTGTGGGCATTTCTGAGGTATCAAAAATAATTGAATCATTTGCTTAAGGAATCGATGTTGTATCGTATTGTGAGGAAAGCTGTGATTTACACCCCTAGTATTAACATACACGCTCTGTGTATCTTCACTCAGTTACAATGGGCAGCTACCCTGTGCACCGCCATGGACTGCCATCTGGTCAAGGGCGTCACCTACCCCGTGCCCCATGATGGACTGGCATCTGGTCAAGGGCGTCACATACCCTGTGCCTTGCAATGGACTGGCATCTGGTTGAGGACGTCACCTACCCTGTGTTCTGCAATGGACTGGCATCAGATCAAAGGCGTCACCTACCCCGTACCCCATGATGGACTGGCATCAGGTTGAGGGCGTCACTTACCCTGTGCCCTGCAATGGACTGGCATCTAGTCGAGGGCGTCACATACCCTGTGCCCTGCAATGGACTGGCATCAGGTCGAGGGCGTCACCTACCCCGTGCCCCGCAATGGACTGGCATCAGGTCAAGGGCATCACCTGCCCCGTGCCCCGCAATGGACTGGCATCAGGTCGAGGGCATCACCTGCCCCGTGCCCCGCAATGGACTGGCATCAGGTCGAGG